AGCGGGGAGCCTGCTTCTCCCTCTGCCCCTGCCCCTCCCCGCCCCGGCTCATGCTCTCTCTTTCAAAGAAAGAAAGAAAGAAAATCTTCAAAAAAAAGCTATCTACAAAGCAGCCCTTTGTTTCAGAGCCCCTCTCCCAAATCCTCCGTGGTGGTCTACAGTTCTGCTGAAGTGTTGGACAGAATCTTCAGGTTTTCCCCATCAAACCTCTTCCTAGTCACCTAGTTCCCTCATTTGGACGTGGACAAAGGACACCTCATTAAGAGCAACTGGTGACGGAGCTCTCAAATACTTTTATTGTATTCTGGTGATAAAGCAGAGTCATCAATTCAGGTAATGAGTTTTTTTTTTTTTTTAATTTTTGTATTAGTGTATGGAATATGCCAGTATACAATATAGCTTGGTTTTAAAAGGCTTAGAACTGAAATACATAGTTCAGGTTGATTATTATTTGATACAGTACACAGAGGGTTATGTATTTTAACATCCTTCCCTTTGCGGAAATTAGTCGTGGATGTGAGGAATGGGGTGAAGGCATGTTAATGAAAGCCCAAGTGTGACATCAGCGAGCAATGCCTGCTTGTGTGATGGCATTCCGAACCCACAACATTCCTGGGTATGTGCATTTATACAGGCGAGAAGCCTGCTTGATTTAAATTAAAGCTTTGGAATTTAAAGCTTCATCTGGTCTCTTCGGGTTAAGTTTCCTTTTATCAAGTGGGAAACAATTGAAAAAGACAGTTGATTTGTTCACATTTACTCTAAAGTTCAAGTGAGTTAATCCAACAAATGATTGCATAAGTTTACTGTGCTAACAGCTGAATTACAGCTGTGAGTTAGAAATGGAGCAGTCAGTCATCTGGAAGTGGACCTTGTTCAAGAGGTGGCATTTGCGGTGTGCCTTAGAGAACAGGTTGGTTTTGAACCAGTAGTAGAAGAGGGCATTGTTAGAGACCAAGCAGTCTGGGGGACAGCAGACTGGAGTGGGGTATGCAGAAAGTGTTCTGTAAAATGAAGCTGTTTCCCTGAAGTCCCACAGCAAGGCAGGGGTAGAGCTAGGATGAGAAATCACCTCAGTCCTGGTTCAGTGGTCTTTGCTCTAGGCTATTCCCTCCCAGCTCCCTGGCAGTGCTTAGTGGACAGATTTGAGGGAAAAGACAGCTGGTACATTAGTCTTCTTGATTCATAGTGGTTCAAAGAAATCACAGTGGTTGGGCCTTTCAGGGGGAGACAGTGGCTCAGGCAAATCACCAAGTCAGAGCTGCTTGGAAATCATGTTGATTCATAAAAATATATAAACATTCAATAATCAGGTGCCTAACAAGTGCCATGAGCTAAGACTTCGATAATAAAGTTGGCCAATACTTAGGCGCACACTCTATGTACGGGTGCAATTCTAACCATTTTTCATGAGCATTAATGCAAGCTTGTATTATTATTTCTATTTTGCAGATGCAAAAACCGAGGCACAGAGAAGTTAAGGTCACACCGGGATTCAAACCTACTCTGGTTCCAGGTGCCACACTCTTACCCACTGTGATGTACTCCCTCTTACGTAGTTGAGAGATATACAAGGTCTGGCCCTTGCAGAGCAATATAACTAGCAGCTACAGACAGTGCTAGATAGGAGCAGCATTGGGGATTGTGGAAGCATAGAGAAATAGGATTTAACAAAGGCTCAGGAGTCAGAGAATAATGAACAGCCAGAAGAGGTCAGTGGGGTTGAGGAAGGAGAGCAATATTTCTAGGCAGAGAGGCTAGCACTTAGAAGTGCCTGAGGTGATAAACTAATGAGGTTTTGGAAGCGCTCAGAAGTTCAATAAGGGGAAACAGTGAGTGAAACTTCTGGTTTCTGTTAATGATGGCCTAAGCTATTTTGTGTGTGTGTGTGTGTGTGTGAATCCTCCTGCTGCAAGAAGCCAAAACTTCTGGATAAAATATAAGCAAAAAAAATTCTGAAAGCATTTAAGAACTGACAAATTAGTAAAAATGTTATCAGGTCAAAAGAGAAGATAAATAAGAATTCAGGGAGAAATGGAGCATAGATCAAACCACATTTGATCTAATGGCAAACCACATTTGATTCTAGCCAATCAGACCTTACCCTATGTTGAATGGGACAGAATCAAAACCCAGAGCCCACATACAATGAACAGACTGTTAGAAGATGTTTCCCACAAAAAGCTGGCATGCCAAAGGGCTATCGTTTTCAGAGTAAAAGAGGTGATCAGAAATGAGATCCTCCCAGGGATTTGCAGCCTGGGAGCTCAGGAGAATTCAAGCCTTGAACCTGGCTTGAGATGATCCTGCACTATTGATGCCTCCAGAAGTATGGTAGAAGTAAATGAAATTACTTTTTGGAGGAAGGGACTTATTTTTATCTCCTCTCCAGTTACTTCCACATTTTTTTTCCTGCAAAGATACAATTACTTTTTAAAGCTCACCAGAAAAGTTACTGTAGGTGAGAACCAACAAGAATAACAAACTGATTCTCAAAGACTTAGATACTTGAATTATAAGATACTATAAAATGTACTATTCTCAAAGAAACGATAAACTTGAAAATAGAGGGAACAAGAAATGGCAGCAAGTGAAATGGAAATTTTTTAGAAGACCAACCAAAACTTTTAGAAATGAAAAATACAGTAACTGTAAAGCCATCAGTGGATGGCTTTAACAGAAGCTTCCGGGAGAATTAGTGAACTGGAAGATAGAAATTATCCATGCACATAAATTTAACAAATGAAATGGGCCAATTTCTCAGCCATAAACTACCAAAATTCACCTGATGTGAAATAAATAATCTAAATAGTCCTGTAATTATTTAAGAAACTGAATTTCTAATTGGAAAAGCTTCCAGGGGTGCCTGGGTGGCACAGTTGGTTAAACGTCGGACTCTTGGTTTTGGCTCAGGCTGTGCTCAGCGTGGAGTCGGCCTCAGGTTCTCTCTCCCTCTCTCTCTCTCTCTAAAATAATTAAAAATAAAAAGCTTCCAAAAAGAAGTGTCCAGGCCCAGATGGTGATGGTTTCACTGAAGAAGCCTACCAAATTTTAAGAATAATTAGCACCATTCTATACCATCTCTGCCAGAAATTAGAATATCAGGCAGTACCTTCTTAACTCATTTTATGAGGGCAGTATTACTTTGGTATCAAAGCCAAATAGAACAGTACAAAAAAAAAAGGGGGGTAAGGAAAAGGGGGAGAAGGGGAAGAGGAAGAAGAAACAACAAAAACCCTACAGACCAATATCCCAGAAATTTAACCACAAAAATTCTGGATATTAGCAAATTGAATCCAGCATATATAAAAAGAATTAGACAACATGACCTAGTGAGTTTTATTCCAGATATGCAAGACTGGTTTAACATATGGAAATAAATCTATATAATCCACTATCCCAAGAGGCTAGAGAAAAAATGATCATGTCCATTGGTGTAGAAAAAAGCATTTGACAAAATTCAATATCCATTCATGATAAAAACTATCAGTAAACCAAAAGTAGAGGGGGAACTTCCTCAATAAAGAGCATCTACAAAAACCCTACAGCTAATGTACTTAATGGTGAAAGACTGAATACTTTCCTTCTAAGATAGGGAAGGAGTCAAGGATGTCTACTGTGACCACTCTTATTCAGTGTAGAACTGGAATGCCTACCCAGCACAGTAAGGCAAGAAAAAGAAATAAGCATAAAGATTGGAAAGGGCAGGGGGACCCAACAACCTTATTTGCAGATGAAATGATTGTCTATGTAAAAAATCCCAAGGAATCTGCAATAAAACCCTTCTAGAATTAACAAGGGAGCACAGCAAGATTTCAGGTTACAAGATCAACAACACAAGAGAAATTATCCAGAATGTAGCAGAAAGACAAAAAGATGGGAAACCGTGGGTAAATAAAGGATTATTATGTTCAATTTGAGTTCCATAAGGAGAGAGGAAAATGAGGCAAAGGAATATCTGAAGAAAGAGAGCTGAAAATTTCTCAGAACTAGTGGAAGATACCAATCTACAGACTGTTGAAACCCAAAGACTTGAAGCAAGGTAGAAAAAAAAATGAAATATGAAAAAAAAAAATCCCGTTCATGATAGTGGAACTGCAGAACCCTGAAAGATGGAGGGCAGAGGCTGGAGAAGTAAGCAAGAGCCAAATGAAAACCAAGTTAACGATGTTGGACTTAATGATAAAAACGAATATTTGTATAATCCTTATTACTTGCCAAGGCCCTACGTGAAGTGATTTACTCAGGACAGTTGTACGGGGTAAGTACTATTATTACCTCCATTTTACAGATGAGGAAGTTGAGACCAGTGAAATTTACTTGTGCAAAATGGCACGGCGTAGCAATGGTAGAGGTAGGATTTTGAACAAGGTAGTTCTGGCCTGGGTTTGTGACCTTAACCGCTACACAAACTTGTCTCTCTAAAGGGCAATGGGAAGCCATCGAAAAGGTTTTAACCAGGGGAGTGACACCATATTTGCTTTCCAAACACCAACCATCCTGGCACCACTATGGATAAGGATCAAATAGAGCTAAGAGTGGAAAGAGGCGGCTGTGGGAATAATGGAGCCAAAAATAGGGAGGGCCTGGACGAAGGGGAGGTGGCAGACAAAAGCGAGTGGACTGAGGGCTCTTCCGGAGGCGAGTCCTCAGGTTTTGTGGGGGAGAGGAGAGCGACGATGATATTCACGTTTCTGACTCGGGCAATTCGGCGGACAGTGCAAGTCATTCACTGAGGTGACTTGGGAGGAGTCTGGGTTTGGACAAGGTGAATTTGTGGTGTCTGTGACGCACAGCCGGCCGCGAAGGGACCAAAGGCTGCTAGGACCCACAGCAGGGCCCTTCACCGGTCCGTCCAGGCGGGGCGCTCGCGAGCCCGAGGACCCCGAGCGCGGCGCGGCGGCGCGCGCCTCCGGAAACCGCGCGCGCAGGCGCAGTGCGGCGCGGGCGCCCCCTGGCGGGCGGCGGCGCGGAGGGACCGCCCCCAGCCTGGCGCCGCCGCCGCCCGCCTCAGCCCAACATGGCGATGCACAACAAGGCGGCGCCGCCGCAGATCCCGGACACCCGGCGGGAGCTGGCGGAGCTCGTGAAGCGGAAGCAGGAGCTGGCGGTGAGGGGCCGGCAGCGGGGGCGCTCGGTGGTGGCTCCGCGCCCGCTTCCGCCTCCAGGCCCCGGCCCGATTGCGCCAGGCCGTTACTCCCGCGGCGCAACGCGGCGGCCTGAGGCCGGCTGCGCGTTCTGCGGCCCGCCGGCGCCACGGCTTCCCGGCTGCGCGACTCCGGAGCCGGGTAGCCGGGGCCGGGGGGGCGGGGCATGGAGCGGGGGAGGGGGAAGGGGCCGGCGGGGGCGTGGAGGCGGGATGGCGCCTGGGGTGGGGGCTTCTGTGTGGGAGCTCGAGGGAGGCGAATGTCTGTGAGCTTTGGGGATAGGGGCGGTTGTGTCCTTGGCCTTTGCTGGCTGGGTGAGGGCGGGCAGGTCTTTGGTCTTTGAGGGGTGGGTTCGGGCGTGTCTGGGGGGCCGTAGGAGACCGGTTCGGGCTTTGCCAGTGGGCTTGGAGGGGGTGGGGTAGGAGGCGAGTGTGGGAGGGGGACCCAGTCATCCAGTCTGGCCTTTAGAGGATGGAGGGGCGCATGTCCTTTTGAGGACTAGGAGATGTGTCGGATGGGGCTTTTGACGGGCATGGCTGTGATGTTTTGGGGAACATCTAGAAGGTGACAGGCGAGCGGAAAGGACTCAGTCCAGGGAATTGAGAACTGTGACATGCACCCAGGGTTCCAGACACCCTGGTGGCCGCCCCCACCCCCCCGTGTTTAGGTTTAGGCACCGGGGAGGGCCATCTCACCCGAAGCTGCCCTCCCAGGTTTCCATGGCAACTGACAGCCTAGTGCCGGGCGTTCTCGCAGAGCCTGCGGGGAGGGGAGCGAGTTGGCGCTGGAAGGCTGCTCACCCTTTCCTCTCCCCAGTAGCGGTACCTTTGTGCGTGCGGGTGGAGACTGCTCACGTTCTGCCTGAGCGGGGGTTCTTGACAGCTGGGTTTCCACCAGCCCTCCGAAGCATATGCAAAATTTTGCACATTTTTCTGGAGACAGGCTCTATACATTCCCTTCTATTCTCAGAGGGCTCCAACAAGACAGGTCTACGGTCTAGCTGTCTTAGTCTGAAAACAGCCTTCCTCTCCCCATGTCTTGTCTTTGCAACCGGGGTGGCTTATGTACTGGAGCTTGAATGTCTAAGGCTAATATTCAGAGTTTGGTTTAGTCAGAGTTAACGTTTGCATTTAAAACACATTACCCATTTCCTTATTTTTCATCTCCCAGGAAACACTGGCAAACTTGGAGAGACAGATCTATGCTTTTGAAGGAAGCTACCTGGAAGACACTCAGATGTATGGCAATATTATTCGTGGCTGGGATCGGTATCTGACCAACCAGAAGTGAGTGTCAGAAGCCTGTGGTGTTGGTATTGTGCCCTAGTAATTGTTTTTTGGACTATCTATGTTCTTGCTAGCAACTTTGCGGGGAGGCAGTAGTAAAGTGGTGGTGTGGAAAGCCGTCTGGGGTTCCACTTGGACTCTGGCTCAGCCTCTGCCTCACTGAGTAATCGTGGGCAAATCCTACGTCGGGGAAATAGGGAAAGTCGGGCGGGTGGTACAGGGTTGCGTGAGGCGTTAAACAAAGTGCAGCAAATGACAATACCTGACATACCACTTTGTTAGTGTTTTCCATTTTTTAATTAGTCGTGAGTTTGACCTTTACAATATTTGCCACACCTGTGTGCTAACCATACCACAATTTATTTGGTAATAACTATTCTTGAAAACTATCTAAGCTTTTTGAAAATTTTCAAATTTGAAACGCTTCAAGTTGAAATAGTACTGTGCACACTTGATACCCTTCCCTTGCATTCATCAGTTGTTACCATGTAGCTACATTTGCTTTCTCTCTAATGTATATAAATATACACACACCTATATCTGTACTTAAAATTTTTAGAGGCGCCTGGATGGCTCAGTCAGTTAAGCATCCGGCTCAGGTTATGATCTCAGGGTCGTGGGATTGAGCCCCATGTTGGGCTCTGTGCTGGGCGTGGAGCCGCTTAAGATTCTGTCTCTCTCTCTGCCCCTCCCCCTCCTCTCTAAATTTTTTTTTTTAATTTTGCTATAATTACAGATACATAGGAAGTTGCCACAAATTAGAGAGGTCGCATGTACCCTTCACCCAGTCTTCCTCAATAGTTGGATTTTATGTAACTAGAGTAGAATATCAAACTCAGGAAACTGACATTGGTACAATGTGTATGTGTAGTTCTGTCACTGTGTGTAGATTCCTTTAAGCACCACTGCAATCAAGATACAGAAGTATTTTATCACCACAAAGATCTTCCGCCTGCTACCCCTTTATAGCTATATCTTCCCTTTCCCCCACCTTTTTTTTTTTTTGCTAATCATTTAAGTAGCTAGCATGACACTTTGCCCATAATTATGTCAGCAGTTACCTCCTACGGATATTTTTCTTACCTAGCCACAATTATCACACATAGAGAATTAGCATTACACTAATAGTATCATTTACTATAGTCTTTATTTCAAATTCCCCTAGTTGTCCCCAACATGCTTTGCTGCCTTGTTTTGATCCATTCAGTGTTCATGTATTGTATTTGGCTGTTAAGTCTCTTTCCTCTCTTCTTTTAGGAGAGTTTCCTACCCTTGTTGGTGGTGAAGTTGTTCATGACATTGTCTTGCAGAATGCCTCAATTCCAGATTTTTCTTTTTGTGACCTCATGAGAGATCCTTTAAGGATTTTTGGAAAAAATCTTACATAAGTGATTTGTATGCCTGGTGTGTTGTTTACCTCTATTATACTGGGAGGCACATAATGTCATATTGTTCCATTATTGGTACGAAGTTTGAGCATATGATTTCTCCCTTGTAAAAATTCATTTTTTTCTCATTGTAATTGGAGGCTATACTTTTAGACAGTGTGAATATATTGCTCCCTCAGATTTCTGTTTAGTGGTTTTAATATCCATTGTTGATTTTTACCTGACTCTCTTAATATACTGCTGATTCTGATCTTTGTATGTGGATTACTGGCATTTGGAAAGAAGAATCTTCCCTTCATATCTTCTCTCTCTCTCGTTCTCTATCTCTGGCCCTTTCTCTCTCTCTCTTTTTTTTTTTAAGATTATATTTATTTATTTGACACAGAGAGAGACAGTGAGAGCAGGAACACAAGCAGGGGGAGTGGGAGAGGGAGAAGCAGGCTTCCCGCTGAGCAGGGAGCCTGATGTGGGGCTCGATCCCGGGACCCTGGGATCATGACCTGAGCTGAAGGCAGAAGCTTAACGACTGAGCCACCCAGGTGCCCTCTGGCCCTCTCTTTACTATCATTAGAGACCAATGGATTTAAAAAAAAAAAAAATCAGTGTGTTGGAATCTAATGCTGTCACTTTTTTATTGTAGAGGCTTATTTTTTACTATGAACTTATTGAAATATATACAGAGAAGTGCATACATCATAAACATACAGCTTAGTGACCAAGCAAACACACCCATCATTATCCTGTTCAGTGCTTGGTTTGCCCCATATGTGGACAGAGGGAGCCTCCTTGTGCTGATTCCTTTGTGTTCCAGGATTTTGTTGCTTTCTGTCCCAACAAGGTGTCTTAGACTCACCTTGTCCTTTTCTTATCCCAGAACTAATACCAGCCATTTCCTTAAGGAACCCTGGTTTGTTCTTTAATTTTTTTTTAAAGATTTTATTTTATTTATTTTTTTAAAGATTTTATTTATTTATTTGACAGAGAGAGACAGAGCAAGAGAGGAAACACAAGCAGGGGGAATGGGAGAGGGAGAAGCAGGCTTCCCAGACAGCAGGGAGCCTGATGCAGGGCTCAATCCCAGGACCCTGGGATCATGACCTGAGCCGAAGGCAGATGCTTAACAACTGAGCCACCCAGGCGCCCCTAAAGATTTTATTTTTTTAAGTAATCTCTAAACCCAATGTGGGGCTCAAACTCACAACCCCGAGATCAAGAGTCACATGCTCCACTGAGCCACCCAGGCGCCCCGTGTTCATTAAATTTCTTCAGTTAAGCTTACTTGACAGAAACATTTCATATCACTAGTCTGTGCTAGTTGTTTTTAAAAATATCAAAATAAATATATATTAAAATGACAGTGACTGTGAACTAACTAATGTCCCATAGTGGAGCACCTGCCATGTGTTGGAAACCGTTGCTGTCATGTAGGCATTCAGCGTAAAGGTCGTTTTGGTCAATTCAAACGGTATGGAGGTATTTTCATGTGAAAGTTGGTAATTTAAAAAAGAGAGACAATGAGAGAGAGTTCCTTACATGTGTCCTGGGCCATCCTCAGCTTGAGCCATAGATACAGCTTGGTGCTTATGAGTTTCTTGTGTGTGTTTTAGAAACTCCAATAGCAAAAACGATCGAAGGAACCGGAAGTTTAAGGAAGCTGAGCGGCTCTTCAGTAAATCCTCAGTTACTTCAGCAGCTGTAAGTGAGGTGGGGGGAATCTTTCTGTGGTCCACCATGGAGGAACTCCTCAGTTAAATTTCTGCGAGTTTTCTCTTTCCCTGCTGTCTGAGTGCTCTCCGGAGGTCTGTGATAATTTTTCTAGTAACAGGTGTTTTTTTTCTTTTAGGCAGTAAGTGCATTGGCAGGAGTTCAGGATCAGCTCATTGAAAAGAGTAAGTTTATTTTTTTTACTTTTTTATTACTTTATTTTTAAGCTACAGTAGCCCTTATATTTAACTCCTATCCAACCTAGAAGTTAGGAACCCTTTTGAGTCTCCTTAATCATGTCTTTTTTTCCTCTTTTTTTTTTTGAGGGAAAAACTACCATGTCCTCCCTGCCTCTTCTGTCATGCAGAGGTTGACTCTAGCTGCTCAAAGACACAAAGATATGTCTTCATTGCTGATAAGTGTCAGGGAGGTTTTTTTTGTGTGTTTTTTTTTTTTTAATTTAAAAAGAAAACCTTTTATCATGGAAAATTTCAGACATATCTGATAAATCTCCATGTCTCCAATTTAATAATTCTTAGGAAAATCTGATCCTGTGAACAGAATGTACTTGTGTGTTCTTAAATATAAAACACAGAGTAGATAGTATTTACTTTGTAAGGAAATTGTATCACTATCTGTAGGTAAGCCATATAGTCTAATTCTATTCTAATGTCTAGTGATGGGATATAGATCTGTACATTTATCTTTCTGAGTCAGACTTTATGTAGCTGTCTGTATTGGACACTCTTCCTGTGCACTGGGTCACTCTGAAACATAACCTGCTTTTTGTATTGTGGCTGTGTACTTCTTTCAGATGGTATATCTTGTGGGATCCAGTTTTTGTGTTTGTGCTGGGCCAGTGATTTGAGGAAGAGGGATTTTGGTAGTTTGGGAATTAGAACTACTCAGTGACTTTGATTATTATCTCTGTGTACAGATTTCTAAATATCTAGAAAATTCTAGAAAATGTCTTCTAGTCATTTCCGCTCAGATATTCAAGCTCAGACATTTTATCTAAAACTAAACTGTTCTGTTTCCTTCAAAACTTGTCTGCTCAGTTTTTCTGTTATAGTACTTCTTTTCTCCCTCATTCGAAACTCTGTAGGCATCTTTGACTCCTTTCTGCCAACCTAATCAATTATACCAAGTCCTTTTGATTTTTCTTTTACTATGGCTTAAGTAAGTTAAATCTTATTTTTTTCAATTAATTGCCACTTGTAGAATGTAGAGCTAGTATTCATCTGCTTTCTGAGGTCATAAGATTGGTTAAGGAACACCCTGGACCTCACTTCTGTGAGTTGCGATGGAATGATGTCTGACTCCTCAGTTTTCACAAAAGCCTATAATCCTCCTCCTGGCGGATGGTCCAGCATCTGGCTTTGTACTTAACTACCCACACAGAATGGCTGCGCCTAGGTACCCGTGAGGCAAGGAGTCTTAAAGCCATAGCTTGCAGAAGCTTGGCTGAGACAAACACTTATGTATTAAAGGTTTTTTGAAGCAGGTGTAGGCCATCCATTCCCGAGATCTTCCCCTTGAATTGAGTCACGTCCCTGGAATTTGTCATATTGATATTTCTTGGTCTTCCCTATAAAGTTGTATTTGATGAATTATATTCTGGTCCTGTTAAATGTGCTACTGTATTTATTGTAAGGGAATGTTGCAAATGTTTACTATCATTACTAATTATTACGATTTTTAGGAATAGTTGTTTTTCCTGAGGGGAGCCTGGGTGGCTCTGTTGGTTGAGCCTCTGGCTCTTGATTTTGGCTCAGGTCATGATCTCAGGGTAGTAGATTGAGCCCCATGTTGGGTGCTCCACTCAGCTGGGAATCTGTTTCTCTCCCTCTGCCCCTCCCCTGCCCCCGCTTGCACACGTGCACACTCTCTCTCCTTCTCTCTCAAATAAATAAATCTTAAAAAAAGGAATAGTTGTTTTCCTTGAACAGCCAGTTGGTTTTTACTGAATATCTGATAATGGACTGTTTCTTTGTATAGGTGCTAAAATGTTTAGTGGTTCTCCTCTAGAAAGCAAGTATTTATAGCATGCATTTTGGGAATGAATCTTAGTGTTGCATCCAGCTTACTTTTCTATTCCTCTTTGTTTTACTTGTCTCATTTTAAATTTATTTTATTGGATTTTATGATATGAATCTTGGTAAACTGCTTTGAATTCTTTTTAGAATAGAGAATTACATAAATAGTGAAGTTTATCAATTCAAATGGTCAGATCCCCTTTAAAGTAATTCTGTTGCATTCTGTCTCACCACCTGTCATTACCATTTCCTCCTGCTGTTCGTTTTTTTAGAGGGGGGTGCAGAGGGAGAGAGAATCTCAAGTAGACTCCCTGCTGAGTGCAGAGTCCAATGTGGGGCTCCATCTCAGGACTCTGAGATCATGACCTGAGCCAAAATCAAGGGTTGGTTGCTTAACTGACTAGGCGTCCTGGGCGCCCCTCTTCCTGCTATTTTTTTTTTTTTAAGATTTTATTTATTTATTTGACAGCACAAGTAGGTAGAGCGGCAAACAGAGGAAGAGGGAGAAGCAGGCTCCCTGCTGAGCAGAGGTTCCCCATGTGGGGCTCGATCCCAGGACCCTGGGATCATGACCTGAGCTGAAGGCAGACGCTTAACTGACTGAGCCACCTAGGCACCCCTCTTCCTGCTATTTTTAAGAGTTTATTTTCATCTTGGTTTTTTGCAGTCAACTATAATGTGTCTAAGTATGAATTTCTTTGTAATTATCTGGCTTGGGTTTCATTGGACTTCTTGAAATGGTGGCTTAGTCATTTTCATCAGTTCTGGAAAATTCCCAGCTATTACCTCTTAAGATACCTCATTTGCTCTGAGCTCTGTCCCATCTCTTCTCCTACTCTGCTCACATGTATGTTAAACTTTCTCATTGTATTCTTTATGTCTTTTATTAGCCGTTCCATGTCTTCTGTCTTTGCCTCTGGGCCACCCGACAGTTCACTAAATCTCTTGTCAGTTGAGTCTGACTTGCTGTTAAACCTTTCCTTGGTTTTTTAAATTTTTGTTACTACATTTTTTTTTAAAGATTTTATTTATTTATTTGAGAGGGAGAGAATGAGAGAGAGAAAGCACAAGAGAGAAGAGGGTCAGAGGGAGAAGCAGACCCCCCGCCGAGCGGGGAGCCCAATGTGGGGCTCGATCACGGGACTCCAGGATCATGACCTGAGCCGAAGGCAGCCGCCCAACCAACTGAGCCACCCAGGCGCCCCTGTTACTACATTTTTAATTTCCAGAAATTCCACTTAATTATTTCTAAAATCTGCTATGTAATTTTTTAGTAGCTTTCTCTGCAATTATTATTAAACTTTCTTTTATTTCTTTAAGCAGAGTAAGCCCAGTTGTTGTATATTCTGTGTTTAATTTCAACCTCTGAAGTCCTTAAAGATGTGTTTCTGTTGTGTGTTGCTTCTGCTGGTTATTACTCATGAAGTCTAATTTCCCTGTGTGCCTGGTTTTTTTGACTGTGTACTGCTCATTGTAACCTCAAGTATTTGTAGAATAATTTGAGGGGGAAGATGAAGGTGCCATCTTCGAAAGACTTAATGTTTTCTTCTCCTGGGTGTTTAGACCTCTTTAAACCAAGTTGAGGGTCCCTGAAAGACCCAGCTGATTCAAACCAAGCTTTAATTCCATCAGAGGAATGGTCTGCTTCACCTTTTGCTCTTTTTCCTTTCTACAGAATCTCTCCAATGTCTCAGAATTTCTGTATAACAAATCTTGCAGAATGACTCCTGGTTCTTGATTTTTTTTTTTTAAAGATTTTATTTATTTATTTGACAGAGAGAGATACAGCGAGAGAGGGAACACAAGCAGGGGGAGTGAGAGAGGGAGAAGCAGGCTCTCGCGGAGCAGGGAGCCTGATGTGGGACTCGATCCCAGGACCCCGGGATCATGAGCTGAGCTGAAGGCAGACGCTTAACAACTGAGCCACCCACACGCCCCCTGGTTCTTCATTTTTGATGGTGATGAAGTACACATTCTTTTCTCTCAGAATTTTGAGTTACACATTCTTAGATCTCAAGGATTTTGGAGTTCAAACCATTCTGAAAATTTTCTTTAAAAATGCATTACTTTCTGCTAAAGACTTATGTACCCAAACTAGAATGATAGAGTGGATTAGCACGGTCCCCAAAGGGGAATTTTATGCAGATTAGTGAAGCATTGTGTGTTTTTGTAAAAAGAATAAAAACAAACAGGCAGATTTTATCCAGTTTCCTTTAAAGGATCAGCCTAGTTTCTGCTGTTTGTTTTATCAGACTCACCTGAAGCTTTCATCAAATAGATCTTTCCTCAGCATTTATATCATTCCAGTGGATAAGTAAATGGCTGCATGAAGCATTGTTGGATATCTTTCTTTCCTCCTTTAAAGTTTTTGTGCTGATCAAAGTTAGTGCTTTGGCACGATTCAATAGGTGTTTTTTGTTTAAGTAAGTAGAGTGTCTCATTTGTCGGTGTATTATACTTAATCAAAATCTGGCATTCTTTACTCTAAAAACAAGTTTCTTATATGTCAGTGAGAAATGAACTTAGGTGTCTTTTCCTGGTGACAGCATCATAGGGTTGACTGACTTGCTGCTGCCCTTTGGGGTGTTGTAACCCACCTCTTTTGCTCTCACTCCTCTCCTGCTTTCATGAACCAAGAAGAGACAATTATTAGGGTGCCTGGGTGGCTCAGTAAGTCCGGTGTCTGCTTTAAGCTCGGGTCATGATCCTGGAATCTCAGGATTGAGCCCTGCATCAGGCTCCCTGCTCAGCAGGGAGTCTGCTTCTCCCTCTGACCCTCCCTTCTCTTGTGCTCTCTCTCTCTCAAATAAATAAATAAAATCTAAAAAAAAAAAAAAACTCATTTATTCCTACTTTGTGGTCCAACTTTGTATTTTAACAGTGTTTAGTCTCCCTGGCTACAGTCCCTTTTATAAACCACTTCTAGCCCGATAATCCTAAAACATGGGTTTGTACAGAGAACTCAGGAAACATTCATTGTTTGATGTCACTTCTCTGTTTAGAAATACTCGATGACTTTGCCTTATGTCCTGTTAGCAACTATTTTACGGCAAATTGTCTATTGTTTAGAATTTGACTTGCATCTTTGTAGAACTCAAGAATATTGAGACTTGAACACTTACTGTGTTCTAGATACTACTCAGCCACTT